CATCTTGAATCTTAATTTTTCCGTTGCTCTTCTAACATACAGCTCCTTATGCATGTACCGTTCACAGGACCGTCTGTGGCGCAAGAACCGTGCTCCCTCGTCAGACCCGGAGTGTTACGGCGTCGATCTGAACAGGAACTTTGCATACCACTGGGGAGGCGAGTGAGGTTTTCTTATCGTGAAGCATTTTAACGTGATGTTAAGTCCGTTAGTCTGTCTGTAGAGTCATCGATCAGTCTTTAAACAGCATGCTTCTACTTCCAGAGGTTGGCAGCAGCAGCGAGCCCTGTTCTTTCATATACCAGGGTCCCCAACCCTTCAGTGAACCCGAGACACAAGCACTTCGAGATGCCGTTCTCGAAGTTCAGGACAGAACCAAGGTAAATAAGACTGAGCGTATATAAAGGTGAGTGTTGTAATGTATCTTTTATCCAAGTACAGTACATTTTATAACCTTGTTTCATTTTTTTAGGCCTATCTGTCGCTACATTCCTACGGGCAAGTGTTCCTGTATCCTTGGGGTTACACCAGAACAGTCAACCACTCTAGAACAGCAGAACTGGTCAGTTTATACAATGCAATTTATCTTGATGGTAACATATCTCATAATTCCTTCTTTGACAAAAATATATCTTAACAGTTTAGTTAATGAATGCAATATTTCCAGCTACACCCACGTTTATACAATGCAATCTATCTTGATGGTAACATATCTCATAATTCCTTCTTTGGCAAAAACATATCTTAGTTTAGGTAAGTTAATGAATGAAATATTTCCAGCTACATCCACACCCATAAATACGTTCCTTTTCAGGTGAAGATGGCAGAGGGAATGGCAAGGAGGATAAAGGCTGCGAACGGTACTGATTACACAATCAGTGGCAGCACAAGTGCATGTAAGCTACACATTGAATTGAAATAGAAATTATGTTGCTTTTCTACCAAATATGTGTATATGATACAATGATACATACATGTGTTTATGATACACACNATATATGTACAATAATATATATATATATATAGTATAAATATATATTATATAATAATAATTATATTTACATATTATTTTATATATAATTATAATTATATACATGTTAGAGGAAGAGAGGAGATGCGAGATGAGAGAGAGAGAGAGGAGACGAGGAGAGAGAGAGAGAGAGAGAGAGAGAGAGAATTTGCATATATATCCATTTATCTATTCATCCATATTTTAATTCACCTATTGAGTGATTGATTGATAGATTGAATTGCACCAATTTTCATACATATTCTCACAAGCATTAGTGAATATATCATCTGTTCTATTAATGTAACCCCTAAATGAATAAATTTGCCTGTTGACAACATATCTGACTTATTTGTCATTTATTAATTAATATTTTATTACTCTTTAACTCCTCAGAATTCTTTCCAGGTGATCAGGAGGCACAGTCACCACCAACAATCGTCTGCCTTATTTGTTATTTATTAATTTGTATGTCATTATTCCTTCTTAACTTCTCAGAATTCTTCCCAGGTGATCAGGAGGCACAATCGCCACCAACAATCGTCTGCCTTATTTGTTATTTATTAATTTGTATTTCATTACTCCTTAACTCCTCAGAATTCTTCCCAAGTGATCAGGAGGCACAGTCACCACCAACAATCGTCTGTCTTATTTGTTATTTATTAATTTGTATTTCATTATTCCTTCTTAACTCCTCAGAATTCTTCCCAAGTGATCAGGAGGCACAATCACCACCAACAATCGTCTGCCTTATTTGTTATTTATTAATTTGTGTTTCATTATTCCTTCTTAACTCCTCAGAATTCTTCCCAAGTGATCAGGAGCACAATCACCACCAACAATCGTCTGTCTTATTTGTTATTTATTAATTTGTATTTCATTATTCCTTCTTAACTCCTCAGAATTCTTCCCAAGTGATCAGGAGGCACAATCACCACCAACAATCGTCTGTCTTATTTGTTATATTAATTTGGTATTTCATTATTCCTTCTTAACTCCTCAGAATTCTTCCCAAGTGATCAGGAGGCACAATCACCACCAACAATCGTCTGTCTTATTTGTTATTTATTAATTTGTATTTCATTATTCCTTCTTAACTCTCAGAATTCTTCCCAAGTGATCAGGAGGCACAATCACCACCAACAATCGTCTGTCTTATTTGTTATTTATTAATTTGTATTTCATTATTCCTTCTTAACTCCTCAGAATTCTTTCCAAGTGATCAGGAGGCACAATCACCACCAACAATCGTCTGCCTTATTTGTTATTTATTAATTTGTATTTCATTACTCCTTTAAAACCTCAGAATTCTTTCCAAGAGGCACAATCACCACCAACAATCGTCTGCCTTATTTGTTATTTATTAATTTGTGTTTCATTACTCCTTTAGAACTCTCAGAATTCTTTCCAAGAGGCACAACCACCACCAACAATCGCCAAGAACCCGGACTATCCAACAATCGAATTGTTTTCGTAGCGCAATCGACACGGTTGAAGAACTTCCTTACAAACGTCATTGCGCAAGACCCTGAAAATCGGCAAAGAAGAAGAAGAAGAAGGAAAAGAAGAAGAAAAAAGGCTGGAGGGTATTTGCTGCGTACAAAAGTCAAGAGATGCCAACCAGGCCACCATCTTACCTCCTCTCTCTCTCTCTCTCTCTCTCTCTCTCTCTCTCTCTCTCTCTCTCTCTCTCTGCTCTCTCTCTCTCTTCTCTCTCTCTCTCTCTCCTCTATCTCTTCTCTCTGATTTGCACTCGTGGCACAGGCACAGGACCCTGTTGGGGGTGTACATGCACGTTCATTGTACATATGCATGCGCATGGTATTAATTTGCGCAACATAAACTGCACGCACGAATGCACACACACACACACACCACACACACGCGCGCAGCGCGCGCGCGCGCACATACGGATAGAGAGGATTGAGAGCTCGAGGATGAGAGAGAGAAGAGAGAGAGAAGAGAGGAGAAAGAGAAGAGAGAGAGAGAGAAAAGGAGAGAAAGAGGAGAGACAGACAGACAGACGTGTAGACAGATAGACAGAGAGGCAAAAAGAGGAAAAGCAATTAGAAGGAGAAATGAAAAGAAATGAGAAATGAAAGAGAAAGATAAAGAAAAGTAACAGGAAGATAGAACAAAAGAGAAATCAAAGAAAAAGAAAAAGAAGAAAAAAAGAGAAAGAAAAAAAGAAATGAAAAGAAAGAGAAAAATAAAAAAGAAAGAGAAAATGAAAGAGAAAGAAAAAATAAAAGAGAAGAGACAAAGAAAAATGTAAAAGAGAAGAGACAAAGAAAAAAAGTAAAAGAGAAAGAGACAAAGAAAAAAAGTAAAAGAGAAAGAAAAAAAAATAGAATGAAAGAGAAAGAAAATACAAACCAAAAAGAAAAAAAGAGAACAAAACAAAAAGAGAAACCCAAAAGAGAAAGAGAAAGGAGGGAACAAATAAGAAACTGTAAACTAAGGGAACTAATCCCAGGTAACTTGAGGAGTGAACAGATGAGGTGGATAACTTGATACCTAATTACTCCGAGACACGTCGGCCGTTCGACAAGAGTCCGGTGAACTTGGCGGGGATATTGACGGGGGTAACAAGTAATATCCGCTCCCTTGGATGTCGTCGCCCCCTCCCCTCTCCCTCTCCCCTCTTTCCCTTCTTTCTCCCCTCTTTCCCTTCTTTCTCCCCTCTTTCTCTTCCCCCTTTCCCTCTTTTTCTCCTCTCTTTCTCTTCTTCTTCCTCTTCCTCCTTCTCCTCTCTTTCCCTCACTCTCTCCTCTTTCCCTCCTTCTCCCTTCTTTCCTTCCCCCTTCCCTCTCCCTCTCCCCTCTTCCCTTCTACTCTTTCTCCTTTCCCCTTTTTCTTCCTCTTCCTCTCTTTCCTCTCTTTTCTTTCTTCCTTCTCTCTTCCTCACCTTCTTCTCTCTCCCTTCCCTCCCTTCTCTTCCTCTCCCCTTTCTCTCTCCTCCCCTGTTCTTTCCTTTCCTCTCCTCTTTCCTTCCCTCCTTTCCCTCTTCCTTCCTTCCTTCTCCTCCCTCTTTCCTCTTCCCTTTCCCTTTTCCCTCTGCCCCTCCTCTTCCCTCTTTCCTTCCTTCCTGTTCTTCCTTTCTACCTTCCTCCCTCTTATTTCCCCTCTTTCTCTCCCGTCTCGTTCCCTCTCGCACTCTTTTCCCTGCTTCTCCCTATTCTCTTCCCCTTTCCCTCTCCTTCTCCCCTCTTTCCCTCCCTTATTCCTCTCTCTCTTCGTCCCCTACCTCTCTTCCCTCCCATTCTAGTCTCCCTTCCCTTCATCCTTTCCTGTCCTCCCTCTTCCTAAGACTCTCCCCTCCCTTCTCCTTCATTCCCTTTTTTTCCCACCTCCTCTCCCCCTCTTACCTTCTCCTCCCACTTCTTCGTCCCACTAACTTTGTTCATTTTTCTCTTCCCCATTTTCTCTCGTGTTCCATCCTGTTCTCCCACGCTTCCTCGTTTCCCCTCTTTACCAACCTGCCCTTTTCCTTTCCATCTCCCCTCTTTCCTTTCATCTCTACGCATTTCCTCCATATTCGTCTTTTTTAACCTGCCGTCTCTCCATCCCCTTCCTCCCTTCCCTCTCCCTCTTTGCTAATGTCTTCCTCTCTCCTCCATTTTTTTCTCCAACTTCTCATTCCCCTCTTTCTCTCTCTTTATTCCTCTGCTCAATGTCTTCCTCTCGACTCTATTTTTTTCTCCATCTTCTCATTCCCTTCTTTCTTTCTCTTTATTCCTTCTGCTTTTACTCTCTTCTTTCACCCGATAGGCTCCTCTTTCCTTACTTTATCCCTTCCCTTTCTTTCAAATTCTTCCCGTTCTCTTGCTTACTTCTTCCCTTCTACCCCCTACCCATAACCTTCCCTTCTTCCCCATCCACTTTTCTACCATCTTCTCTTACTTCCCCTTTCCTCTTCTTTCTCTTCCCTTTGCTCCGTCTCCTCTTTCTTCCCATTTCCAATCATCTCTCTGTCAACTAACATATAATTTCCCCTTTTCCCTGTCCGTCTTCCTTTCTTCTCACTTTCTCAACCCTTTTTCTTCTTCTCTTGCTCCCCTTTTCCCCAACCAGTCTCCACTTCTTATCCCCAAAGCCCTCTCTTAATCCCTCACTCTTTACCATTCTTCTGTCCTTATCCTTCCCCCTTCCCTTTCCCCTTTCCCCCAACCAGTCTCGGGTAAACACCCTTCCAATCCCTCACTTTTCCCCCAACTAATCTCTTCCACTCCTGTTGCTCCCTGTTCTCCATCTAATCTTTTATCCCATTTTCTCTTCTTCCTCCTCCCTTTTCCCCTATCAAATTTTCTCCCTTTTTCTCTTTTCTCTACCTCCTCCCTCAACCAATCTTCTTCCTCATTTCTCCTTCTCCTCCCTATTCACCAACCAATCTTCTTCTCCCTCCTCTTCCTCCTCCCTTTCCCCCAGTCAATCTCCTCTCTTTACCTTTCCAATCCCCCCCCCTCTTCCTTAACTAATCTCCTCCTCTTCACCATGTTCTCCACTCCTCACTAACCCCCCCAAACCCCCACTCCCCTCCTCCTCTTCCCTCTCCTCCCCCCCCCCCCCCCCGTCCTTTAGCGACGAAGAAGGCAAACGCATTATGATTACACTGAATAAAAAATAATAAATAAAATAAAAAAAATAAATAGACGATGAAAAAAAGAATAAGAAAAAAACATACACGTAATGGCAGGCACTGATTGAATTGGACGAAGGAAAATAAATAAACAGGAGAAATACACAACTGAGTAAAGAGACGGGCGAACGACTTCAAACTCGAATACCAAATCAAAACATCGTGGGAGAGGCAGCGACGGATAAACAAGGGGACGGAGAGAGAGAGAGAGAGAGAGAGAGAGAGAGGAAGAGAGAGAGAGAGAGAGAGAGAGAGAGAGAGAGAGGAGAGAGAG